GTGAGGGTATATGAGAACAAGCCCTTGCTTGCTCTGCACCCCAAGGAAGGCTGAGCTTGTTCCTTATATGGGAGAGGGTAGGGATGTGTCCAGGGGTCAGGTGGGGGGGGTGTGGCTTACTTAGGTGGTCTGCCCACCCCTTAGGTGGTGTTGGGTGCTGGGGCATGCTTTTGCTCTTCATGGCAGTTGGGTTTTTTGGTCTCTTTGTATCCTTTGCCCAGAATCTGCCCTAACTGCTCATGCAGGCAGTTATTTTTCATCCCATATAGTTTCTTTGTGTTTTATTGCTGGAGGAGCGGTTGTTCAGGTGTGAACTTTGCAGCAATGCAGCAAAGGGTCCCAGACCCCAGACCTGTCTCATTCCCTGCTGAGAGACTCTACATTGTTGTTCTTAAGATGCTCAAGATTCTGAAACTTCTTCCTGCTGGACAGGGACCGCAGACCTTCGCCTACCCTAGAGTTGTAGACGTCCCTTGCTGACTGTTCCAAGGACCTGTAGGGACCTGGGCCAGTCTCCACTGGAATGGGCTGAGTTCCTTGAGCCATCATGAGCCTTACATCAAGCTCTTGGAGCCAAAAGGACACAAACTTAACCAAAAGGTTAAACAAGCAAGGGATGTAAAGGAGAACAATAACCACTGAAGGACCTAGAGAAGGAACCTGTTTAACTTTGGTCTTCCTTAATGTTGATAAGGGAGGCAATATCACCTGGGCTTGTTCAGTTGAGTTCAGTTCAGTCGCTCAGTCGTGTCTGACTCATTGCGACCCCATGGACTGCCAGGCCTCCCTGGCCATCACCAACTCCCAGAGCTTCCTCAAACTCCTGTCCATTAAGTCGGTGATGCCATCCAAGCATCTCATCCTCTGTCGTCCGCTTCTCCTCCTGCCTTCAATCTTTCCCAGCATCAGGGTCTTTTCCAGTGACTCAGTTCTTCACATCAGGTGGCCAAAGTGTTGAAGTTTCAGCTTCAGCATCAGTCCTTCCAATGAATATTCAGGACTAATTTCCTTTAGGATGGACTGGGTGGACCTCCTTGCAGTCCAAGGGACTCTCAAAAATCTCCAACACCACAGTTCAAAAGCATCAGTTCTTTGGCATTTAGCTTTCTTTATAGTCCAACTCTCACATCCATACAGGACTACTGGAAAAACCATAGCTTTGACTAGACAGACCTTTGTTGGCAAAGTAATGTCTCTGCTTTTTAATATGTTGTCTAGGTTGGTCATAGCTTTTCTTCCAAGGAGCAAATGTCTTTTAATTTCATGGCTCCAGTCACCATCTGCAGTGATTTTGGAGCCCAAAAAAGTAAAGTCTCTGTTTCCATTGTTTCCCCATCTGTTTGCCATGAAGTGATGGGACCGGATGCCATGATCTTAGTTTTCTGAATGTTGTGTTTTAAGCCAGCTTTTCACTCTCCTCTTTCACTTTCATCAAGAGGCTCTTTAGTCTGTCTTCGCTTTCTGCCATAAGGGTGCTGTCATCTGCATATCTGAGGTTATTGATATTTCTCCCAGCAATCTTGATTCCAGCATGTGCTTCATCCAGCCCGGCATTTCACATGATGTACTCTGCATATAAGTTAAATAAGCCGGGTGACAATATGTAGCCTAGGCTTGTATTTCCTTAATATTAGATTTTATCTGTTCTGGCACATTGATCCAAGTGCAGCAGGAAGCAGTTGTTCTGTCAGAAGATTATCAAGGGCCAGACAATTGTCAGGAACCATGTCAGCCAAGGGAACAAGAACATTTCCAAGTCCCTATAAGACTTCAAATAGGAGCCAAACCTCTACATCATTTTACTTAGCTGTCCGATGGTGCCTATCTTTTGAACAGGTATCTCAGAGCTTCTGGCTCACAGGTATACTATTTTCTGTTGTGACCTGCAGGGTTTCTGAGGGTAAAAGCTTTAGTCTGGACAAGTGTACCCAACTAGATATCCCCTGCAGTTTGACAGCAATCAGTTCAGTTCAGTTCAGTTGCTCAGTCGTGTCCGACTCTTTGCGACCCCATAAATTGCAGCACACCAGGCCTCCCTGTCCATCACCAACTCCCGGAGTTTACTCAAACTCATGCCCATCGAGTTGGTGATGCCCTCCAGCCATCTCATCCTCTGTCGTCCCCTTCTCCTCCTGCCCCCAATCCCTCCTAGCATCAGGGTCTTTTCCAGTGAGTCAATAGGTGGTCTTGGAGAGACCCCTCTCTCCAGGTTTTAAGAAGAGTTTGGTCCCCCCGGGTTTGTGTGTGTGTGTGTGTGTGCGTGAAAGTACTATTCCTTCCTCTGTATCTTTAATGGGGGCTGGCTGTGCCTTGTGGGCATAGTCCAGATTGCTTAATTTGCTTTTTTTCCCCTCAACTTTACATTTGCTTTTTAATTTTGCAAAGCTTGACTTTGTTTCTTGCCTGTTCCATGAACTCTGTCTTGTCCTGACAGTGCCCTCAGCTTCTCAGAAGCTGGTAAACTCTGTCCCTATGTTCTCTCAGGCATTTGGCAGATCCTCAGTATATTCTGTTAATTTTTGTTGGCTGCAAGGAAAACACTAATTCTTTCAACAGCTTCACTGAGGTATAATTTACATAGCAATGTAATTCACGCTGTGTAATTATAGTGTGGTTGAATGGCATCACTGACTCAGTGATAGTGAGATGGTGAAGGACAGGGAAGCCTGGCGTGCTGCAGTCCGTGGGGTCGCAAAGAGTCGGACACGACAGAGTGACTGAGCAGCAACATCATTCATGCTCTTTAAGAGTATAATGCAGTAGTTTTCAGTAAATACACAGAGATGTGCAGCCAGCATCAGAGTCTGATTCTGGAACATTTCCATCACCCCAAAAAGATCGCCGTGCCCTTTGGCAGGCACCACTCATTCTCGCCCTGAACCACAAGCAACCACTGCTCCACTTTGTGTCTGCATGGATTTACCTGTTCTAGAAATTTCATATAAAGAGACTTACATAAATAAATGATCTTCTGAGCCAGCTTCTTTCACTTGGCATGTTTTGTGTGTGTTCAGGAAAAAACTAATTCCTCATTTGTTTCCCCTGTACTAAAATTCTACAGAAAAAAAATTGGGAAGGCATAACAAGCATTTTTTTCCCCAAAATAATTCATCTTCATATAATTTCTTCATGTATGCAATTTACACTTATCCATTTATTTAACTTCCTATCTTTTAATACCCCTACACCCGATGTCCAAATCCCTGCATCCCAAGCCACAGTTATCTGTGCTCCTTCTCTTCCTTTTTAGCTCCAATGCCTAGCATTTTCTGGGTTCTTCCCAGGTAGAGATGATACTAGATATTCCATGTACTCTTTTTTCTTTTTCACTGTTTTTTTAATTGGAGGGTAATTACTTTATAATGTTTTGTTGGCCTCTGCCATCCATCAGCATGAATCAGCCACAGGTATGCATATGTCCCCTCCCTCCTGAATCCCTCTCCCACCTCCCTCCCCATCCCACCCCATCCCACCCCTCTAGGTTGTCACAGAGCCCTGGCTTGAGCTCCCTGTGTCACACGGCAAATTCCCACTTGCTTTTTCTTTTACTTATAGTAATGTATCTGTTTCCATGCTATTCTCTCAATTCATCCCACCCTCTAACACATGCACATGGAATCTTGAAAGATGGTACAGATGAACCTGCTTGCAGGACAGCAATGGAGATGCAGACATAGAGAACAGACTTATAACAAGCATTTGAAATCAGATGATGTCTCTCTGTCTCTCTCTCCTTTTCATTGAAATCGGACGGTCTCTCTGGTCAACAAATCCATTGTTGACCAGAAGTAGAAGGCTTGGGACCCTGTGACAGGGGGCACACTAATGGCAGGAGGAGCTAGCCTTGCAGTTTCACGGAGTTCCAACCCTGCCTACGTCTCTTAGACCAGCACTGCTGTGTTCTTAGGGGTCAAAGGAGCGTTAGTCACTACTGTTGTTGAGCTCCTACTGTACAGTGGGTACCATGCTAAACCCTTGATGTGGACTGCTTCCACAAAATTATTGTCCTTATTTTCCAAAGGTTATTATCCTTATTTTTACAGGGAAGGAAATTAAGATGAGCAATTTTAACAGAGAGGTTAAAAACCACCTGCCCAAGATCACATAGCTCAGTTGGTAATGAATCTGCCTGCAATATAGGAGACCCCAGTTCAATTCCTGGGTCAGGAAGATCCCCTGGAGAAGGGATAGGCTGCCCACTCCAGTATCCTTGGGCTTCCCTTGTGGCTCAGCTGGTAAAGAATCTGCCTGCAATGCAGGAGACCTGGGTTCGATCCCTGGGTTGGGAAGATCCCCTGGAGAAGGGAACCGCTACCCACTCCAGTATTCTGTCCTGAAGAATTCCATAGTCCATGGGGTCACAAAGAGTTGGACATGACTGAGTGACTTTCACTTTTCACTTCAAGATCACATAGTAAGCAGCCAGACTGACACTAGTTCTTTCGGACTCCGGAGCCTGTTTTCTTAACCTGTATGTTCTGGTACTAATTAATGAGAAGCTGAAGAAAAAAACAAAACAAAACACTGGCCACAGAAACCCAAAAAGCAGAGCTCCATGCAGCCAGGCAGGGCAGCTGGGATGCTCGGCTCCCTCAGCTGTCCCTGGGCCCTCACACATCCCTGCCCCACGAGAGAATTCTCTTCACCGTAGTCAGTCAGTACTGTTAGAGTCTGATTTTCCTAGCCAAGAGGTTACAGAAATGTGTCATTTGAAGAATGAGTTCCACCTGGAACATTCTGTTTCCTCTAAGGTAAGAAGTAATTATGTGGGGAGACGTATTCCTTTAGAACAGCTCCTCCCCGGATCACACAGCCTGTGGTTTTTGGTACAGGATGTGACCAGGCGCCAGCCCAATCTCCCTTATTTTGCTGAAAGACGTTATAAAGGGTGGGTTTGTAAAGTTAACTCCCAAAGCAACTGACATTCTCTCCTCTTGACATGCTCTTCTGCCCTGGCGCGTGTGCGCGTGTTCCCTACGCAATGGCGATGGTTCGCACAGCTACGAAGAAACTTCCCAAGCTGCCTGTCTTCCTGGAAAACTCCTCCTCACGCCCTAAGTTCTTCTCAGCCGGAAGCTCAGCTCAAAGCAGCAACCAATGGACTACCTCTTGCCCCTCTGCAAACATTTACCGATGAGGAGATGATGATAAAGAGCACAGGTGAGTGAACCCGGGTTTACCACATTTCCCCTCAGGTTACGGCGTGGCCTTTGCTGTGAGATCACATGGCCTGTGACAGGACTGGGGGCGGTGTTCTCCTAAGTTTGTGAATGGAATTTTTGTCAATTTTAAGTCTTCCTCTTTTCCTTTTTTTTTAAATTAATACATGCCAGATTTATAAAATAAAGACTTATTAGTATTTTTTTTCCCCTACAGTTAAAAAATTCGCCCAGGAACAAGTTGCTCCTTTTGTTTCAAAAATGGATGAAGATTCAAAAATGGAAAAATCCATAATACAAGGATTATTTCAACAAGGGGTATATAATTCATGATTATTCTAATTTCAAACTTTCAGAAATACCTTCCAGTGTTAAAATGCATGCATACCTTTAAATTTAGGAATGGTAATGATGGCATAATTTCCTAGTCAGAATTATGTGACTTCTCTTTCAGATTGAGAGCCTAGTTAAATTTTTTTTTTAATTGAACTAACTTTTAAAATTAGAAATACCGGTGCTTTTTAAGTAAAAGGTTAGAAGCAAGAGTGATTTCTTCAGACCAGTGGCATTAAACTGAGGTCTATTTTTGTTCCTCAGAGGATATCTGGCAACGTCCGAAGACGTTGGTAGTCACAACTAGGTGTGCTACTGACGTCTAGTAGGATGCAGGCACAACATCGCAGAGTGCACAGGATGGCCTGCTGAGACACAAAATTATCCAGCTTAGTAACGCCAAGGATACGAAAACTTGCTTTAGTAAAACTTCACACCAGAGCATCTACCTGAATCTATGTATGTAGGAAACCTAAAAGCAAGAGGTTCATATCTGAAATCCATCAGATTTAACCCGGGCAACCAGTTTCCAACTTTTTAATTAGAAACTCATGGTGCTTTAATAGAAGCACAGTGTATAAAATAGATAAAAATAGAAATGTTCTGACTGTGAGTATAGGGAGAGGTTATCAGCGTGGGAGCCCACGGAGAACATTTCAGAATCACCGGGCTCTTCATCTCTCCCTTCTGTATAGGGAAGAAGGTTTTTCTTGATTTTTTTGGAATACCAAGGCTCTCCCTGGTAGCTCAGCTGGTAAAGAATCTGCCTACAGTGTGGGAGGCCTGGGTTCGATCCCTGGGTTGGGAAGATTCCCTGGAGGAAAGCATGGCAACCCGCTCCAGTATTCTTGCCTGCTGAACCCCATAGAGCTTGCTGGGCTACAGTTCATGGGGTCACCAAGAGTGGGGACATGACTGAGCGACTAAGCACACACATGCAAGGCTACCCCAGGTGGCGCTAGTGGTAAAGAACCTGCCCGCGAATGCAGGAGATGTAAGAGACACAGGTTCTATCCCTGGGTTGGGAAGATCCCCTGCAGGATGGCATGGCAACCCTCCAGTATCCTTGCCTGGAGAATCCCATGGACAGAGGAGCCTGGTGGGCTATTATCCATGGGGTCGCACAGAGTCGGACACTCAGCAACTTAGCACACAAGGCTGTCCCAGAACTAATAGTCCCTATTAGTTCAGAGCCACTGGCTTAAATCTTGACCAGTTATCGTGTTTGAAAATTAGCCTTTTCCAGTAATTGTTTTATTTCTTACTGTTCAAATAATACTAGCTTTAAAAAAAAAAATACCATACAGTAGTAGTTTTTCAACTTTCTTTTAGCAGTGAAACTGTTGGGAAAATAGAATCTTATGTGAAGTCACAGTGGTTCAGAAAACACCCATTTCTCATCCAGGTCCATTTACAGAACCTCAATTCTCTGAGAGGTCTTGGGGTCCCACAGTTTGAGCTTCCGTCTCGCGAGGGGGTAGTTCTTGCAGGCAGGGTCCTTTGTAGCAACAGGTTGCCTGCCACATCGCAGTCACTCCTGCCTGCTTGTCACACACCCCTTGGGGGTCTGCGTTCTTTCATATCTTGCATCAGCTATTCTCGGCCTCACATGACTCCTAACTTCTGACCTCTACAGAGGTCACCTGCCAAGATAACTGACAAATATGTCCATCGGTGACCTTTTTAGAGAAGCAGTGTCTCTGACAGCTGTTGAAGATGCAATAGTCCAATATTCTCACGCCTCTGTCAGCCTCCAGGCATTCCCAGTCCCGAATCCTTCCTCAGAGGACATCATTGCGGGTTTGCTCAGCCCCTCTAGCCTCCCCCTTGCAGTTCTCACTTCCTGTCAGCTAAGTTTCCCATCAGCTAAAAACATAACACTGAACCCTGGCTGCAGCGCGTGTAGCTCCCTGCGACCTGGAGAGAACAGAGAGGAGCATTCCTCCTTGCCTGCTCACGGCTTTGTGTGTCCCCCCACCCACCTCAGTAAAAGGCAGAAGTTTTATTCTATGTGGAGAGAGGTCAGAGTATTCACAGTTTTGGGTCTTGAATTACATGTGCACACATTCTCTTTCTGAAATGAGGATACTTAAAAAACGGAATACTGTGGATGTTTCATGTTCCAGACGGAGGACTGGTTACTGAACAGTCAGGCAGTTAACTGAAAAGCCTTGACCAGTTTTGACCATGATTGTCAGGCAGCTGGGCCTTGTCTTGTGTGATTCTAGGAAACACTAGACCACATGTGGTCTGCTAACCATCTGGACTTGCTGAAATAGTGCCCACAAGAATGGTCATTCAGTTATGCATTCAGTTATTATCTCAGTTTAAAGGATCAAGGTGGAGGGGACTGACTCAAAGAGATTCTGCTCAGTGAAATTGGAGATATTTTCTGCTTTCTCCAGTTTCCTTATTATATACTTTATTGCTATTCCATTTCAGTATCCTTCAAATTATTTTACCTCTCTTATTTCTGTTTTTTAGATACCAAAAGCAAATAATTGATAGTTCTAGCATGTCATTTTATCTTTTGAAAACATATTTCTGTTACAGATTTTTCTGTTACAGATTTTTTTTGTTATTAGAGGGATAGAGCCATACCAAATAAAGATAAGATATACATACAGAATTTAAAAATTAAGAATGTATATAGTTACAAATTATTTTTGAACTCATTCTTGCAAGAAATTTTCCCATATAAAAAATAGCTTTCTTAGTGTGTATTTCCTTCTTTTTCCTTTAGTTGATGGGTATTGAAATTGACACAAAATATGGAGGAACGGGAGCTTCATTTTTTTCCTCTGTCCTAGTGATAGAGGAGTTAGCCAAAGTTGATGCATCTGTGGCTCTGGTATGTGACATTCAGAACACATTAATTAACAGGATGATTGGAAAATATGGAACAGAAGAACAGAAGGCTACCTATTTGCCCAAGCTAGCTACAGAAAAGGTGAGTTGACATGAGTTGTTGACATGGATCTGATCTTGTCTAAATGTAGGATGTTTTCAGGAGAAAAGTAGCTACAGTGTTGGCTTTTCTGTTTACGACCACAACACAGCACCACTAATTACTCAAGCAGTGCTCAATAAATTAACGCTACCCTGCTGGTTCAGATGGTAAAGAATGTGCCTGCAACACAGGAGACCTGGGTTGGAAGGGCATGACACCCCACTCCAGTATTCTTGCCGGGAGAATTCCATGGATAGAGGAGCCTGGTGGGCTACAGTCTATGGGACTGCAAAGAGTTGGACATGACTGAGTGGCTAATACACACTAGAAAAATACACTTGGAAATTTAGAGAATTACCATTGCACAATTAAATTACTTCTGTTTGGGGCCCAATTATATCTATTATTTTGATTGGTAGTTTCATTTACATTGCAATTATGAAAACCAGTTTAATGAAATGTAACTTTGAATATGTGTGCTTAGGTCTTTAAGTCTGACCTAGACAAATAGTGGGATATATTTTGGGAAATAATGCTGTCAGAATGCCATTACTATTTTGATATGTACAGGCTTTTGGAAGTAGCTAAAAGTTTTTGATTTTCAAATGTTGATTTTGCTATAAGTGGGTATTTGTTATCCAGAATATAAATATAATAAATATAAATATAGGTCTTAATTTGGAATTTTTTCCTTGCATATGTAGGCATCAAGTATCTGCATTTCAGAGGCTGGAGCAGGTAGCGATTCATTTGCTATGAAGACCAGAGCTGATAAAAAGGGAGATTATTACATCATCAACGGGTCAAAGATGTGGATTAGCAGCGCTGAGATTGCTGGGCTGTTCGTGGTGATGGCAAATGCAGACTTTTCTGCTGTAAGTTTGAAGACAAACATGCTCGCCATTGCCCCCCTCATCTTTTCTCTTTGTTTCTTTTCCTTACTTCCATTTTCTTCTTAGGACTTGGTCTTAAATTCTTCATTCTCCTCAGAATTGGAAAGGTTAGACAGCCAACATCTTTTCATCCGCTTAATTTACTAACCTCCTAAAACACATATTACAGTTAACAATAAATTTTAGCTACATGGAGGACCATTTAATTAATCTCCTAATCTGTTAGACAGGAGGCTAGAATCTTGAATTTTATAGAATTTCAGATTTTCTGTTTAATAATGAAGAATTTAAATAGCTATTTGGTACATTTATTTATTAATTTTTGATGTGGCTCATTTTAAGTTTCATTGAATTTGTTACAGTATTGCTGCTGTTTTATTTTTTGGCCAGGAAGAATGTGGGATTTCAGCTCCCCAACCAGGGATTGAACCCACACCCCTTACGTTGAAAGGTGAAGTCTTAACCACTGAACAGCCAGGAAGTCCCCTAGCACATTTTTTAAAATTCTTTTTCTAGCACATTTATTTTTAAGAATGTTTTATTACATTCTTAAAATAAGAAGAGCTTATTCTTATTTAGAAGAAAAAGGGCTTCCTAGATGACTCAGGGGTAAAGAATCCCCCTGCCAGTGTAGGAGTCACAGGAGACGCTGGTTCAGTCCCTGAGTCTGGACGATCCCCTGGAGGAGACAATGGCAACCCACTCCAGTTTTCTTGCCTAGAGTATCCGTCATGGACAGAGGAGCGTGGTGGGCTCCAGTCCACGGGGTTGCAAAGAGTCGGACATGACAGCTTGCACATACACATTCAGTTGAAAAATAGACATATAGCAAAATGGTAAAGATTGCTTTTGTTTTTTCTCTAGGGTTACATTTAATTTAATTAAATTTTGAAATTTATAAAATAAAGTTAAATTTAAGTTGGGGAATTAATCATGTAATACTTTTGTGTTGCTTAATAATTTTAATAGCAACAGTGGTTTCTGAAAGTGTAAAATAAACAGTAAAGTTCTTGATATTGAGTCTACTTTCACCACTCTGGTTTCATAAAACACGTGGTGCAATTCTGAGTTCATTAGTAATTAGTGCTAAAGTCTGCTTTTAGTTTTCTGTTTACTTTGAGCCCTTTGGCAATAACAGATCTTCTCAGTCAAAGTGGTGATAGCATTTTAAATCTGCATTTCAGGGGTATAAAGGAATTACCTGCTTCTTGGTCGATGGTGGTTCCGAGGGCCTTCATATAGGGAAACCAGAGAACAAATTGGGAATCAGAGCATCTTCCACCTGCCCAATCACATTTGAAAATGTCAAGGTGGGTATCTTAGACAAGGAATAAGCTCTGCCTATATGTATAGATGCTAGTAAGGTATCAAAATTATTAGTCCTACACAGGAGAGTATTTTGCAAACCTCTTCAACAGTGATCTTAGTTGAGGTCATGACCTCAGTGTGCTTCTCACAAGCGTTGACACCAAGGACGGAAACCCGTCTGCCCAGCTGCTGGTCTCCAGGGCCATCTCATTCACCCTTTAGCAGCCTGGTACTTAAGGTGCGCCAGACGTGGCTTCGGAGGAGGCCACAAGGTGGGGCTGTTGCCCAGTAAGAATGGAAAACAGCCAGGCAGCCCCCTGCAGGTGAGAGTTGAGTCTTAAAAAAAAAAGCCGCGATGACTAGAATGGGGTGCTTTAGACTTGACTGAGTTAGGGCACGGTGCAATCGGTCAGCTGCCACTGGTGAGCATGTCACCTTCCTGGCTCGCTGGTGACTGTCTGTGCTCCTGGGGTGTCCTGATGTGTCGTGTGAGCTTTGCTGCTGCACCCCAGCTCTCTCTCGTCTCCTCATCTCTCTCTGCTTTCCCGACGCTGCCCGCTCTTGTCTCCTAACTGCTCATGTTAAGAAGCTAAGTGTATTTTTTTTTTAATTTCTCTCCTGCTCTCTATAAAGCAGTTCTGTTGTTTTTTTGTGTGTGTGTGGCCATGCCACACAGCTTGTGAGATCTTAGTTCCCCAACCAGGGTTCAAATCTGTGCCCCCAGCAGTGAAAATGCAGAGCCCTAACCACGGGACCGCCAGAGAATTCTGCTGTCTTTTTTTTTTTAATTGATCCTAGTCTAGATTTTTAAAATATGAGTAAACAGTTTAATTTATTTCTTCACTCCTTTATCTTGTGTGCACATGCATGTGTCCACATGGATGTGTACGCACACATCACTCCATTGATTTTTGTCGCAAGAAGTCTCAACAGAAGAAAAACACTTAACTACCCTTACATGTTTTCTGTTATTCCTAATAGTTTATTCACATTGTAGCATACAAGTAAGAGTTTGGGGGGGGGGGGGAATTGTTATTCATTTATGTTGTTGTTAATTGTATGAGATTTCATTCTTCTAGATTCGACAGATGTCTGTGCTAGGCTCTGGCGGATGCAGTAGTGAACAGCATGGACTTGAGTTCTATCCCTCTGCGAGTGCGTGGGAAGCAGTTGAGAAGGAGTTACAGAGACATACTGGACAATTTCCTTGGAGTTTAATGAATACTATGCTAGAGTGTTATCACAGAAATTGAGGGTATATGTGCATTTAAAAATATATAATCAAAATGAATTATGGCAAATTAAAGTGAGAAATAACTGCACATTTTTCTTTTCAGGTTCCAAAAACAAATATCCTGGGACAAGTTGGACATGGCTATAAGTACGCCATCGGGAGTCTTAATGAAGGCAGAATAGGAATCGCTGCACAGGTTAGTCAGACTTTAGCCCTTTAACTTGGCTCTTCCACACACAGTCAATTAAAATGTGAAAAGGAAAAAAAAATCAGTAAAACCAGTGAGTGGAAGCTTGTCAACACAAGATGGTGTCCTTCCCTTCCATGAAATCAAAGAATAGCTTCTGGCTACAATTTCTTTAAAATTCCACTTTCGTCAATTATGTAATGTCCTCAGACCCAAACAGTGGCTTAGAGCTAACAGTTTTTTCCTGCTTTGGGAGCATTAAAGTATTATGTAATACCTGGATTGATAACAAGTACATTGTAGATTAATGTGGTATTTTTTTTGAAAATCAACTTTTCAAAGCATGCAATTCATTTTGCAATTTTTAATATTAAGAGTAAGTAACATTTAGGGGAAGACCCTGGGAGGGATTGGGGGCAGGAGGAGAAGGGGGCAACAGAGGATGAGATGGCTGGATGGGATCACCGACTTGATGGGCATGGGTTTGGGTAAACTCTGGGAGTTGGTGATGGACAGGGAGGCCTGGTGTGCTGCAGTTCATGGGGTCGAAAAGAATCGGACATGACTAAGCAACTGAACTGAACTGAACATTTAGGGGACTTCCCCGGCAGTCCAGTGGCTGACTCCATGTTCCCAGTGCAGGGGGCCCGGGTTTGATCCGTGGTCAGGGAACCATATCGAATGTGCCACAAGGGAGATCGAAGATCCCAGGTGCCACACTAAGACCCAGAACAACCAGATAAATAAATAAACATTTAAAATAAGTAAATAAATCTTTTTAAAAAAGGAAAAAGTTATAATCTATTGTGTAGTAGAGTCTCTGTAGATAATGAAAGATTTTTACTTAGTGATTTGCATGTGAAAATCAAACAACTTTTTGGCCTGTCACTTGAGATAAAATGACAACAATTAAACAGATATATACAATAAGAACTATTCAAAATTTTTTTTTTTTACATCAAATTTGCCCTTTAAATAGCATATTAAATTTTTCTATTAGATGACACCAGTTGTTTTCTAGAATCACAAAATGAAATCTTTGGTTTTATGAATTCATTTTTGTAACATATTAACTTTTAATCAGTGAGTATTCAGAATTCAAAAACTTAACAGCTTTTAGATTTTGAAGATACTGCATATATTAACTATTTGGAATAATTAAATTATAATTTTACTCTAGATTTTCTTCCCTGCTGTTAATCTGCTAATAAAATATTCTTAGCTCAAACTTAACCCATATTTCCCACAAAGCATAGATAACATATCAGTAAAGAGAATTGGCTTATCTGTTCTTTTTAAAGTTTTTCTGTGATTCAGCTTCATCACATGTGGCATTAAAAACTATAGCACTGGGTTTTGTTCTTCCCAGACACATAAATAATATAGATGGCTGGCAGTAAATACACAGCCTGGGCTTTAGTCTAATTACTCCAAGTTATCCTAAAACCTAATTAAAAGTTAAGGTCAGAAAAAAGAGAAACAGAGTAAGGTCTGGTAGTTATTGTTTCTTGATTAATACTGTGAATGCCTTTTAGAGAAGGAGACACCTGCAACAGTGGCGTCCATCATCAAAACTCTGTAGTTGTAAAGAATTTTAGTTTTTCACTATTTATAGTGAACACATTGTACTCTGTTTTAGAAAAGCCTGTGTTGACTGACAAGTGATCGCTACAATTTGTGTCCATATACCAATTGTTGGCATCCTGTGAACTTCAGTTGTAAGGGTTTAACAACATCATCTTCTCTCACAGCCGAAAGTGCAGTGAGTTGCTGCCTCATTTTAATTTGCTTTTGGGGTTTTGACTTGGTTTGGGTTTTGTCCTTAATATAATGGAGCATAATAGTCCATCCTCCAGAAAGTCCTAAGTAAAAGGCTGAGGAAAAATTCCACTGATGGAATATTGCTAAGTTTGTGGGCATTTCCCCCAAAAGCTTTAACTATTGATTTTCTTTTTCCTTTTTCTAAAACTTACATGGTTTGATGTAATTAGATAGTGATTCAACAGCTACCTATGTTAAAATGTAGAAACAGTTTCTAAGCTCAAATACATTAAGTTCTTACGGAGATTGGGATGGCAATGAGACAGTCCAGCTATAACTGCCACCGTGTCCTGATTTGTTCCTCAAATGTATACACAGATATTTTTGCTGGCAGCTCTGTGTCAGTTGCCCCCAACTCTCGCTGTGCATTAAATCATTAAAGAGTTTTCAGAATGCTGGTACCCAGTCCCACTCTCCCCCACCTCGGTCCCATGCCCAGGCTTTGGGTTTGGTTGCTAGGCCCTCACATTGTTTGTTTGTTTGTTTTTCCACCATTGAAAATAATTTATTGAGGTGAGGTTTGTGTAACAAAATCCTTTTAAAGTGAATAATTCAGTAGCATGTGTTACATTCCCAATGTTACTCAGCAGTCACCACTCTTATCCTAGAACTTTTTCGTTGCCCCAGAAAGAAGTGCCTTTAAGGACCCATCCCCAGTGCCGGGTAGACTCTTAGCTTTATGGTCCCTCCCATCGTTTCAGCTCAGTCACTCAGTTGTGTCCAACTCTGCAACCCCCATGGACTGCAGCAGGCCAGGCAGATGGAGGGTTCTGACAAAACATGGTCCCCTGGGGAAGGGAATGGCAAACCACTTCAGTATTCTTGCCTTGAGAACCCCATGAACAGTATGAAAAGGGTCCCTCTCATATTCTGCTCTAAGTCAAGTGGCAAGGGAAGGAGGGTGGCTGAGCATTTGGGGTCCTGGAGAGGTTACTGCTCAGGGCAGCCCCACATTGGTATTTTTATTATTTGAATTCCCCTAGATGATTCTGACGTGCTGTCAGGGTTGAGAAACACTGCTCCTTTAGGTTCTGACACCCAACCCACCCAAGCTCTTGTCGTTCAATCGCTAAGTCCTCTCCAACTCTTTGCGACCCTATGGACTGCAGCATGCCAGCCTTCCCTGTCCTTCACCATCTCCTGGAGTTCGCTCAAACCCATGTCCATTGATTCAGTGATGCTGTCCAACCATCTCATCATCTGTCACCCTCTTCTCCTCCTGCCTTCAGTCTCTCCCAGCATCAGGGTCTTTTCCAATGAGTCAGCTCATCATAATTGGTGACCAAAGTATTGGAACTTCAGCTTCAGCATCAGTCCTGCCAATGAATGTTCAGGGTTGATTTTCTTTAGGATTGACTGGTTTGATCTCCTTGCTGTCCAAGGGGCTCTCAAGAGTCTTATCCAGCACCAAAGCTCTTATTAATCCTGATCATATACAAAATGGACCAGAAGATAGAAGGTTCAGAAGTGATAAAACTTCTGAGGCTTAGTTTGTGCCTAGAGACTCAAGCTTAAAGAAGAATTTGTAAAAGTGGGCATAGCCACGCCAAAAAGTCTACCTCCATGCTGGAATCAAATGTACTCTTCTTCATAGGAGATTACTCACATTTTCCCCTATTCATGACTTTACGACTTCCTAATCTAAGCTTAGCAACAGTAGCAGTAGAACACAGAGAAAGATGGAAAACCCTGCCTTCCTGCCTGCTTAGTCACATCCGACTTTTTGCGACCCCATGGACTGTAGCCCACCAGGTTCCTCTGTCCATGGGATTTCCCAGGCTAGCATATGGAGAGGGTTACCATTTCCTTCTCTGGGAAATCTTCCCAACCCAGGGATAGAACCCGAGTCTCCTGTATTTCCTGCATTGGCAGGCAGGTTCTTTACCCACTGAGCCATCAGGGAAGTGTTCTCCCAATTACTAGACCTTAAGTTCTATAAATGCAGTGGGTGAAGGTCATTAACATGCCTCACCATCTTGGTATGCCTAATTCTTTCTCTACCCCAACTTTTCAATTTGCCTGTAAAAAGAATTTGTAACCTGAATAATTAAGAACATAACCTATTAATAAAAAATAAGAAAGTCTGATTTTTTTTTTTTAACAGATGCTGGGACTGGCTCAAGGCTGTTTTGACTACACTATTCCATATATTAAAGAAAGGCAACAATTTGGCAGAAGCGTATTTGCTTTTCAGGTATGTAATTATGGACATCTTTCTACTGTTCCATACTCTCTTGTCTTCCTGTTAATGAAAAGCTTTGTTACAAAGCCGCAAGGGAATCCTCTCGGGGATTTTAATGGGAGAGGCGCAGGGAAGAAGGAATAGGTGTCAGTGTGTATACTTGTGACTGCCTTGACCTTCTCCAAGGGCAGAACAGTGTCCTTGAGGCCTGGTTATGGTGTGATTCAGGATACACAGGTGAGCACTTGGGAGCTGCCTCCTCATGGATTCCAAGTTCCAGAGCCTGGGGTTTGTGGTCAGACATCCTGGGTTAGAATCCCGGTTCTTTGTCTTGCTGGCTTAGTCCTTGAGCATGTTACATCACCCCTGCAAACCTCAGCTGCTTCATCTATAAAAATAACACTGCAGACTCTTTAGGATGATTTGGAATCAAATAGATGTTTTAAGGGGCTTCCCTGGTATCTCAGATGGTAAAGAATCTGCCTGCAATGCTGGAGACCTGGATTCAATCCCTGGGTTAGGAAGATCCCCTGGAGAAGGGAACAGCTACTCTCTCCAGTATTCTGGCCCGCAGAGTTCCATGGATAGAGGAGCCTGGCAGGCTACAGTCTATGGGGTTGCAAAGAGCCGGACACGACTGAGCGACTTTCACTTTGTTTAGATGTTTCAAGTGCTTGACTAAGTTGCATGCATGCTAAGTTGCTTCAGTTGTATCTGACTCTTCTCGACCCCATAAACTGTAGCCCGCCAGGCTTCTCTGTTCATGGGATTCTCCAGGCAAGAATACTAGAGTGGTTTGCCATACCCTCCTCAAGGGGATCTTCCTGACCTAGGGATCAAACCTGCATCTCCTGCTACTCTTACATTGCAGGCGAATTCTTTACCACTGAGCCAGCAGGGAAGGCTTTAAATCTCAGCAGTTGTAAACAATTTACCTGAACTTTGAAAAATTTTTCAGAAGCAGTATGTGGAGTGGTTTATTTTAGATTGCAGGTTTTAAGCTACCTTCTGGTAGCTCAGACAGTGAAGAATCTGCCTGCAATCAGGAAACTTGGGTTCGATCCCTAGGTTGGGAAGATCCCTTGGAGAAGGGAATGGCTACCCCCTCCAGTGTTGTTGCCTGAAGAATCCCATGGACTAGAGGAGCCTGGCAGGCTACAGTCCATGAGGTCAAAAAGATTTGGGTATAACTAACTAACAGTTTCGAAAAAATGAATGTTTATTTTTGGGCAAGTATGTTTTGAGTCTGTCAGTGTTCCATACCCAGGCAGGATTTTGAGGATGAGCTGTGTTTGCAGAAATCGTGATTCTCTACACTGGGTCTGACTATTCCAGGGGCTCCAGCACCAAGTGGCTCACATGGCCACCCAGCTGGAAGCTGCACGCTTACTCACATACAATGCTGCGAGGCTCTTAGAAGCTGGAAGGCCAATCGTCAAAGAAGCATCTATGGCCAAATACCATGCATCAGAGGTAAAACGAACAAGAGTCATGCCCTCTTTACAAAAATTTTTTTTTAACTTTTTATTTTATATTGGAGTATAGCCGATTAACAATGCTGTGATAGTGTCAGGTTGCAGTCTTTTAATTTTTAAGATATTTATTTATTAACCTTGTCACTTAGCAACATTGCTTGAACATTTGTTTGTTTTTTTAAGTAAAATAACGTGGACCTTCTAGTTCCTACACAGGAAATGCAAGAAAGTAAAGCTGCCATAAGAGGGTGCTTTAACTCTGTAGGGTTTCCATGTTCTCATGGCTCTCAGGGGGAAACCAAGTCACCCAGTTCAGGTGGAAAACCCACTGTAAATCCATAGGTGAGCCTCAGCTGAACACTGGCATCGTGGCTGTGGTTTCAAGTTGGGACAAAGCGAATGCCCTGGAGATAACGTGAAATGGAAAATAGCAGGAAAAGACTGTCCACGTGTTGACTGTACTCTGCATGTAACACATTGGACTTGGGCTGAAACTTGGTCGCCTCACGGGGCTCGGCAGTGTGTGTCATTCCCTGGCCTCGGATATTTCTTTAACCCCTTCAGCCCTCAGGTCTAATCTTGTGCCTCAGCCTCCCTTCTGAGCTCCAGACTAACAGATCCGCTTCTGCTTTACCCCCCACCCCCTCCCCTGACCACCACCCTCCCTTCCCACCCTGCACAGTCACAAACCTGAGTCCCCTCGATGCCCCTCCTGTGCTCCCGCTCCCTGTTGAATCCGTCACCCGTTATGAGAACTCCACCCCTCAATTTGTCTTGAATTTGTTTCTCTCTCCCCTGGTATTTATTACCAGTTGTCTAGTCCAAGCTGTACCACCTCTTTACCAAACCACCGGAGTCACCTTCTAACTTCTCCTTGGTCCCTGTGGCTTCCTCCAGTCCAGTGTCCCTTTCCAGGTGTCCATGAGGCCATGCCACGCTCCGGTTTTAAACCCTTCAGTGACTCCTCACAACAAATGGGACCTTTTTATTCACTTCCTGTTGTCGCTTTGAACAAATTACTGAGAATTTGGTGCCTGAGATAGTACAGTTTGATCATCTCATAGTTCTGGGGTAAGACATCTGAAATGAGCCTCACAGGTGGTGCCGTGGTAAAGAATCCATCTGCACTGAAGGAGACACACGGAGACTCGAGTTCGATCCCTGGGTCGGGAAGATCCCCTGGAGGAGGACATGGCAACCCACTCCAGTATTCTTGCCTGGAGAATCCCGTGGACAGAGGAGCCTGGCGGGCTCCAGCCCATGGGGTTGCAGAGAGTTGGACACGACTGAGCGACTGAGCACACACACACACATGCACACACGTGCATGCACACACACGTGGGGTGAAATTTGAGTGTCTGGAGCTGCCCTCCTGGGGCTCTGGGGGAAAGTCCATCTCCTCCTCTTCCCCCGCTTCTAGAACCCATTTGCTTTCTGAGACTCAGGGCCCCTTGCTCTGTCTTCAGAGCCAGCAGGGTCCTGTGTTTAGATCTTCCTGTGTCTGTGGTCACATCACCCTTCTCTGCTTCCCTCTTTCCATTATGAGAACCCTTGTGATGACACAGGACCTGACCTGATAACCTGGGATCATCCCTTAACTTAATCAACCTGCAAGTTCCTATGCCGTGTGGGTGATGCACATTTATACTTTCTGGGGATCCTTCTCAGGACACCTTTTGGGGGCCAGCAGAATATTTAAACTGCTCACATCACATGAGGCCCACTGCTGCCCACACCCATTCCCTTTTCACAGCTCACCCCTACCCCAGCCCATTGGTCCTCAGGCCTTTGAGGTCGATGAACCCATTTCCCCCTTGGAGCCTTTCTACGTGTCATTCCTCAGTTTGAAATGTCCCTTGACTTGTCCTTTAGTTGTCAGCGAGGCTGTACCTTCCTCACCCATTGCCCCATCTAAACCATGGCAGTTTCTCCTGCAAGCTCTTCTCTGACCCCATACAGTTTTTCAGTTTTGGTGATCGTGGTTCAACATCCGTCCCTCTGAATGACCAGCAGGACCAAAAGGGCAGTGACTGGTCAGTGCCCGGACATTGTGGCTGGCAGAGTGGGTGATACAAGAAGTCCCTTGGTTAACATTTGCTGAGTAAATGACACTGTCGACAAGTGTATGAATCTAAAACAAAGACCCTGATTCTCTTAAAAAAAAGAATTTTATGAACTAATAGGAAATTTTCCATAAATGGTGTAGAGACTGGGACAAAGAAATGTTAATTTACAAAATAACCTCGATCCTTCCAGTTGCCAATGGCAGTGAATCCGTGTTACTAAGAATATTCTAGAGTGTTGGGGTCATGTGTAAGTTATGTGGTTTCGGCATGATTTGTGCTTCTTTTTGGTAGCTTGCAGGCCTCATTACCAGCAAGTGTATCGAGTGGATGGGAGGAGTGGGCTACACCAAAAGTTACCCTGTGGAAAAATATTTCCGAGATGCGAAGATTGGTAAATAGAATTTTTAACATTTATTTTGTTTTATTTGACTCTGTAGGTGTTTTAGGCTGTTGTATTGGTTTGATTTTTTTGTTGTTGTTAGTGGTACCTAGGAAGAGGCAGTTGTAATCTCTTCAGTTACTATATTTCTTGGCTCTCCTTTTTTTGTGGCTGGGTTTTGTCCCCCCTACTTCTCCCTTCAAAAAAGTAGATTTATTTTTTTTTTTAAGCATCAAATTGTCTTTTTAAATGCCTCAAGGCCTCTGAAGGCCTTTCAATAAAGCCACAACAAATTCTGCTGTCTTAATTGTTCTTTTACTAAAAATGTTAATATTTTTGACTGGTTTAATGCTGTTCCTGGAAGTTCAGTTCTAATTTTAGACATTAAGTGGGTAACCAAGCCTGAGCATTCTGCTTCTGTACTGCCAGGTGGGAAGATAGAAACTCAGCAGTTATAAACACTGCCTATTCCCAGGAAACCATCCAGGCTTGTGCCTTGATAGTTTAGGAATGGGAAACTTCACCTGTTTAATACTGATTCTGGAAATCTGTAAATCAAATGGAATATTGTTATCTCTTAGGTAAAATTACCTTGTCAAATAATACCACATTTAGGGGACATTGGATATAGTGTTCCTGGTAAAGTTTTATAGTAAATGCAGAGGTGGTGTTTGCAGACCTGACTCTTGTACAGACTCTTTTACCATGGCTCCACTCCTATTTGTTCCTTTTCTCCCCTTTCTTTAAGGCACAATTTATGAAGGAACTTCAAATATCCAGCTGAACACCATCGCAAAGTGCATCGGTGCGGAGTACTGACAGGACAGCCACTGGTGTTAAATTTTAAACTCTGTGCCTTGTTGGGGGCTGTGGACCTCCATCTCACTGAATGATTTCATTTGGGCCCTTCATCTTGGATCTGAGACCCTTTCTGTCTTCTCTTTACAATCTGTTTAACTTAGGCACAGAAAATCATTTTTAAAATTTGGGAAGAAATGTGCCCATATTTTCTCCAAAACTATTTTTAAAGCTCTCTATGCATTATTATTCTAGCTTCAGTATACAGAAGTTTCACTTTATTAGAATTTGGAAAAATAAAGACAGTTTGAGTCTTTCTTGCAGATATGGCTATTTTATATTCCTATCATTATACATCATCAAAGAGACTTTTGTGATCATTGGCAGTTCTGTAGAACAAACAGATTCAATTCTAAGTTGCTAAACTAGGTAGACACTGGTAAAAATTTATTTAGAAAAATCTAAAAGTTTTTGGAAAAGCTCATTGGAAAAGACCCTGATGCTGGGAAAGATCGAAGACAGGAGAAGAAGGGGATGGCAGAGGATGAAATGGTTGGATGGCATCACCAACTTGATGGACATGAGTTTGAGCAAGCTCTGAGAGTTGGTGATGGACAGAGAAGCCTGGTGTGCCGTAGTCCATGGGGTCGCAAAGAGTCAGATGCAACTGAACTGAAAAGTGTTCTGAATATAAGAAAATGAGTGGAAAATGAGGGTATAACTCTATAGTTTATATAATTGAAGAAAACATTTTAACAAAGGAAAGCGATATAATTTGTTCCTATAACTGACCAGTGTGAAAGGTGTATTTTATGATGATTGCAGTAAATCATTTTGAAGACAAATCTTGAGGACTTCCCTGATGGTTCAGTGGTGAAGAATCTGCCTTGCAGTACAGGGGACATGGGTTTGAGCCCTGGGAGGTGAACTCAGATCCCATATGTCACGGAAGAGCTGGGCCCGCACTCGGCAACTACTGAATTTGCGTGCTCCAGGGTCCATGTGACCCAGCTAGAGAGCCCGTGTGCCTCTAGTGTGACAGAAGACCCGACACAGCCAAATAAATAAAAAAACATTTAAAATAAGTAAATAAAAGATAATCGGACTTAATAATAATAATAAACAGTCTCTACAGTAGTTTTCAAGTATGAAGTTTAAATAATTTGGTTTAATAATCAGAATATACTCAACACTGTAATATTCATTTTACCAATGATGCTGTTTACTTCTCTTTATATTGAATACTTGGGCTTCAATTAAATTGAATACTGAGTAAAATTGTTTACTCAAGCTTAGTTGTTGAGCTTTATCATGATAGGTAATTCAGAAATTATACTTTAGTTCAGTGATTATCCAGAGGGGTTGTCCTGCCCTCTTAATGAAGTGTATTAAAATCCTCTAAGCTATCAAGGGTGAAACAGATCACCAGCCCAGGTTGGATGCATGAGACAAGTGCTCAGGGCTGGTGCACTGGGAAGACCCAGAGGGATGGGATGGGGAGGGAGGCGGGAGGGGGGGATCGGGATGGGGAACACATGTAAATCCATGGCTGATTCATGTCAATGTATGGCAAAAACCACTACAATATTGTAAAGTAATTAGCCTCCAACTAATAAAAATAAATGGAAAAAATAAAATAAGATATACACTTTGAATCTAAAAAATAAATAAATAAAATCCTGTAAGGAAGGAGGAGTACAAGAGAGCTGTAGGGTTTGAAAAGCATATTTAGATATTATAAAAAAGGACATATCTAGGAAGGCAAAAATCTGTTGTTTTACAGTCAAATTATAGAAAGGCAAAGCTCAACAAAATATCTAGCTGGCAATGCCAGTTCTTCAGTATCGGATTCTCAACCAGGAGAAGAGGATCTAAGTCCTCTGTCCCATAGGCGGGAGGTGTACAGTGAAGGGCTGAGTGTATTATATTTCCTGGGACAGGGCATGGATTAGAGGTGTTGGAGAATGTTTCAACACATCCAGTTGTTTAAAGCAATCACTGCTGTCAAATGGGAAGCACTTTAGTACTTTAATGAAAGGATGATGTTTATTAAGAAAACTTGACATTTTAAAAGTAATTTTGCTTTACACATTCATGTTCTTCAAATCTGTATAATGCATATCTTGGTTAAGTATTCAGAATTGTGTAAGTATAGTGGAGATAGGACTTACATTAGAATATTAGAAAGAAATCTGGACAAATTTTGACCTCCGATCAGAAGAGATCAAGTCTACTTTCAGATAGGGAGCTGATGGAAACCAGTCATTCAGTCTTTCAGACCAAAAGGACAGTACTCTGATAAGGAAAGTATGGGATGGATGAATTGTTCTAAAGTGTGGCAGGGACAACTTTGATTTCTGTGATTATTTGAGTGAGGTGGGCTTTTCAGATGACAGAGTAGAAGCCAACATCAGTAATGCTAACTTCCTCCCCTAGAGTTATAAACATGTGAAGCTACAATAAACCTTGTTCAGATTAGCAGTATGACCAAGGCTTCTGTGTATATCTGAACCTTGAATTTATATTTCATATTGATACAGTTCTAACTGTGTGTATATTTTTGTGCATGTTTGAAAATAACAGTTGAAAATCATGTATTATAGTTAATATCTGTCCCTGCCTTCTTCCATTAGTGAATTTTGTTATTGTACCATTTACCAAAAAGGATATGGTGGGTTTTCCTCATAGTTCTTCCATTATAGCTTTTCTAAATAACTATGACTTTGGGGGTTTTGAGTTTGTGTCTAGTGAAAGGACAGGCTTGTTTACCTCCTGAAACCTATCATTACTGTTTGTTAATTTGAGGATAGGGCCATTACAGGGCCCAGAAGGAAGAGACTTGAACACAAGCACCAAGTCGTGTTTATGTGGGCAGAGCTGGACTCACCCCAACTGCCACGTTAGTATTGTCAGGAATTTCACTTTACAACATAAGAATGAATCGGTGTCAAAGGTTTTAGAATTGTGGAAAGCTCCCGATCCCTGGTGTCTGGGTAAAGAATCTGCCTGCAGTACAGGAAATCCGAGTTCAGTCCCTGGGTGGGGAAGACCCCTGTGGAAGGGAATGGCTACCCACACCAATACTCTTGCCTGGAGAGTTCCATGCACAGAAGCAGGCTACAGTTCATGGTGTCGCAAAAAGTCCGACACGACTAACTGACTAACACTTTCACTTTCAAATCTTAGAAAGACTTTAGAGAACCATCCAGCCAGCTCTCTTCATTTTAAAAGTGAAGGGTTCATGTAGCCCAGAATACTTACCCAAGATCATCCATCCAGGGCCAAAGATAAGACAGAGATCCAAATGTACTGGCTCCCAATTCAGTGTTCTTCCTACTGTTTACCACTGTCTCTGTTCAACACATTCTGGATTACATCCTTGTTATGTTTCCGTCCTCTTATTGGTTTGTTTTAGGTTTAACTGATAAAGGAATAACATTTCAGAAGTGTTAAGACTGATGGATGTCATTACTTACATTTATAAATCATCTGCCAAATATACCAGCTCTCCTAGGATGTAGCTGGTACGTCAAATGTGAGGATGATTGTAATCACTTGGTTTTATGATTATGGTGTGTTTTAGTAAATGCACTAGTTATATCCTTGCTGATGTATTTTTGCTGATCTTTCAGAAAGTAAAACTTTGGTTGTAATGGTACACATCAGACTGTAATCATCTTACAAAATCAGTATTCTACGGAGAATGAAAAAATAAAGCACTACCTGAAGGCTTTTGCCACTTTAATAAAGCAAAATTGTTTGTTGTGCCTACAGAAGTAAGAAAACAATGTAGTCTTCCTGCAAGACAGAGCACCTTTGTTTACCAAGCTGATATCTTGCCTGTCATGTAAGCCAATTTTGTTTGTTTTCAGGGAAGAGACCAATTTTAAATTCATGATGCTAAATAAAAATTTTACCAGATTGATCACCCCCTTCCCCTGCTTCTTTTTAAAGCAAAAAAAGCAGCTTTAAGTAGAGAGGTCACTTCTTTTGAGCACATCTTCACAGTATGTATGAGGTTTCCCTGGTAGCTCAGATGGTAAAACATCTGCCTGCAGTGCAGAGACCTGGGTTCAATCCCTAAGTCGGAAAGATCCCCTGGAGAAGGAAATGACAACCCACTTCAGTACTCTTGCCTGGAAAATCCCATGGATGGAGGAGCCTGGTAGGCTACAGTCCATAGGGTTGCAGTGAGTCAGACATGACTGTGACTTCTCTTCACAGTATAGCTCTTATCTAGCTGATATTTATGCCTGTGTTTGTAGTATCACTTCTGGAAATCTTGTATTGTTGGACCTTTTTCTCAGTGATACACTGTTGTCTAAGCTCATAGGAGGTTTCAGCCTATCTCTTCCCCATCATTTCCTGCAGTGTTTTAGAAATCTAGATATCAGTCCGTCTTTACATTTGTCATTCAGTGATGTGTGCCAAGCAGTCACTGTGACCAAGGGCAGAGGTGCTGTGCCCTCCAGGCTGCCATGCGAAATTGAGGAAGACCATATTCTTATCAGAACGTTCACGTCAGGTGTCTTTTTTTCCTGCTCTCCTTAGTGAATCCACACACACAGAAAACCACCAAGGCCAACCCTATGCAAAAGTATTGCTTTAGGGACTTTCCTGGTGGTCCCGTGGTTAAGACTCTATGCTCCCAATGCAGGAGGCACAGGTTCCATCCCTGATCAAAGAACTAGATCCCACAGGCCACAACTAAGAGTTTGCATGTGAACTTAAGACCTGTCACAGCCAAATTAATTAGTTTAAAAAACTCATCATTTAAATGGAGAAGGCAATGGCCACCGACTCCAGTGCTCTTGCCTGGAAAATCCCATAGACAGAGGAGCCTGGTAGGCTGCAGTCCATGAGGTCGCAACAAGTCGGACACGACTGAGCAACTTCACATTCACTTTCACTTTCATGCATTGGAGAAGGAAATGGCAACCCACTCCAGTGTTCTTGTCTGGAGAATCCCAGGGATAGCGGAGCCTGGTGAGCTGCCGTCTATGGGGTCGCACTCCCATAGA